CTGCAGAATTCTTGCCTGGAGAATTCTATGGACAGAGGAGCCTGGCTGGCTACAGTCCATGGGGTCGCAAGGAGTTGGACACGACTGAGAGACTAAAAATGCTGACAATGCAATGACTGACAACACATAGAGTCAATGATGGGTTATTATTTAGACCAATGGTGACCAAATACCATCTAAAACACCTGCAAATTTTTGGGACCCACCACCAAAGAGCTTTGCCAGCTGTTTAGGAATCTGGATTTTCAGTTTCTCAAATGATTCTAATGCATGGCCAATTTTGAGAATTATTGCCTAAACTTAAGACAAATACTTTAAAAGGTGCCCCATGTTTGTTTTTGTCATACTAGGAAATCAAATGAATGAAAAAATGGTATTATCCTACCATTATTAATAACAAACATTTAGACTAGCAAAGGACAGAAAGGAATAAAGCATTCCTAAAACTATCCTAATGTCGACTATTTGTTAGGATAGTTTCCTCATGCTCTACTTTGTAAACTGTGAAATTACCATACAAAAGATGACTGTGGATGAGAGAAAAAAAAATCAAGGTAAAAAATATAAGAGCAGAATAAACAATCCTCATTTACTGTGCTCTTATGAAGTGATATAATTATAAATTTCAATGTTTAGTTGTTTTAAAATCATTTAGTTGGAATGAGTGACTCTTACCTGTTCTTTCTTCCAGTTTAGCATACTTTGGAGTATTACACATGTTACACTCTGATCTTCTGGCCCAATTCACATTACTGCAACTTTAAAAGTGAAAAATATCAAATTAGTAGATTATAGCATAAGACAAATAGTAAATTTCAAAATATTTAAGAATTTTAAAATAAAAAGTAGAGTAAACTCACTACCATCAAAAAATGTTTACTAAGGATGCTACAAAGGAAATATACCAACATACTTTTTCTGAGAAGAGAGTATGGTTAGAACAGACTGAACTACTTAAGCAGAGAAGCAAAAGCTATATAGTATGAAAAATGCCTCTGTCTTTTTATGAGAACTCAATTAGAAATTATATCTACAGAGATTCTGCTGTCTTGCGGGGGGGAGGGGGAATACCACTTTAAATGAAATGTTCTATTAATTCTCCAGTCTCCAAATTCACCTCAAGAGTAAGGTTATACCCTGCAAATAAAGTTAAACATTTTTTCTTTTCTCTTGCAGAATCAGTTCATGAATTGGATCCCAAATTCAGTGACTTAATCTGTTGCTGGAAAATTATTTAATACTAATTTAGTATTTTTAAGACCAGAAATTTGTGTAAGACCCTCTTCTGATTCAGTCCTTTCATGTGTATTTGATTCATCTGCTTAAGGGAAAAGATGGATATTGGAAAAATCAATATAGCACATGAAAATCAGAAATATTAAGAAACCTAATTAGGAATAATTATCTATAGGATGCAACTTATGATTCTAAAATTACTGTGCAAACAGACAAAATATATTTCATGATATATTTCACACTAATGATACGGGCTAAAAGTTTTCGAGATTTTTCAAAAATAGGACAAAATAGGTTTTTAGTGCTTTTAAATACCCCTCTCTCTTCTTTTTAAATGTTAGCTCATCTTGAGCATCTATTTACTGGTATACATAATTCATCTTACTAACAACTAACATTACCATTAAAAATAAAAGTTAAAAGTTCTTTATACTTAAATATCTGATACAGAATGAATAATAATGAACAGATCTTTGATTTAAAGTCTACTGTGGCTTGCCATTGTGACTAGAAAGAGTAGGTAGTATTAACAAGTAGTGGCTACATACATTATTATGGGGAAAAAATCAGGATGATCATTTAAAACACATACGTTTTACACTGCCAGTCATTAGCACTAAATAAGCCTCGGCTCTTTTCTGCGAGTGTCTTTCCTATTTCAGTGCCCCCTGCTTTCATCATCTTAGCCTCAGTTGTTTTCTCTGAAAATAGAAAAAGGCAGAATGAATCTGGGGAAATAAAGAAATGGTCTGTATAAACAGTCTTAACAGAAGGTTCCTTAAGCGCTTACCTCGACCACATCTATTACAGCTAGTTCTTCTAGCAAAATTTACATTTCCACATCTGAAAATAAAGTAAAAAATACTTAGACACGTATTAAACTTACATAATTTTAAAGATTCTACTACACAGTTTTTTTTAATGTGTCCTCCCTATATACCTGGGTCCAGAACTTCTATTTCTCTTTTCACGTTAATATCAATGCTAACTACAAAAAAACAAAACAAAACAAAAAACCCCCCACAATTTAGGTGGAAAAAATACAAGATTTGAAGTTACAAGTCACGGATAAGAAATTCCAATCTCTCAATTACCGACTATGTGATTCTGGTAAGTCACTTAAGGATCTCTGCCTCAGTGCTCTCATATTGGCACACATCATTAAGTACAATAAAATACCCTTACAAAGTTTAAGTGAGATGTGAGTCCACTTGAACAATTACTGATGAAGCACCAGGGAGTTCAGAAGATTTAAAGTAACTCTCAGTATAGAAAATAAGATTATACAAAATTTTGTTAAGAATTATTTAATACAAAATCCTAAAGGTGAACCACGGGGGAGAAAATGGGTAAGTCAGAAATGGCTTCATGGATCTTAATAATACTCGCTTGTTAGAAACAGAAGGTGGGATGGTAAAAAGACAAAAGAAAATTATGACAAAATAGAAATAGGTTCAATAATTAAAAGAAAACTCAATTTTGGGGGTATCTATCAAACCTCTGAAACCTAGTTGGAAAACTACAACCAATAAAGTCAACACATCAAGTAACATATTGTAACTTTATGCTGATACTAAACAAACAAAAAACACGGGTTCATGAACATGGTTTTTATAGTGCATCTGCAAATCATAAAAGCATGCTAAATGCTCTGAATAACATGTAAAGCTTAAACTTTAAAAAGTTGATTTCTTTTTTTTTAGGTATTATACTAGAATGAAATAAAGATGTGAAGTATGGAAGAGACACTCAACTGAAGCACACCAATTTAACTTTTAGGTCATTCCCCCCACCCCACCCCCACAATAAAGAATATCCTTTACGACTCCAATAAGCATTGGAAATACATTCTGAAAATGTTTTCTGTATTTATATACATTGTAGAAGTTAGTCTGTTCATATATTTGTAACTGAATTGAAATGCATTCTTTTAGAAAAACCTTCAAATATCTGAGTATACTGTCTTTAATGACACTGTCAAAAGCACATTATTCTACAAGTGACCAACAACACAAAAAGTCAGTTGTTTGTTCTACTCAAAATTGACTTGATACCCTTCAAGTAATCGTAATCTTTATGTAATCGAGAAACATCAACTTTTTATGTAAAGGAGCACGATGTTTCATTTCAGTTCAGTTGCTCAATCCTGTCTCTTTGTGACCCCATGGACTGCAGCCCGCCAGGTTTCATTTAAATTGCTCAAAATATGCATGGAAGACAAATGCTGGGGAAACAAGTCCTTAATCTTCTTTGACATTTGATTCTAAAACTGATATTCATAGTTATTGATTGATGAGTATTTGCTACATCTTATTGCTCCACAGAATCTATGCTATACCATTTTAAAGGGGATCTTCTGTTTTTTTTTAAGCAAAGTTAAATAACCTAGGTCAAGTTACATAAGCAACAGGATTGGAATTAATTTTCAAAGTTTTCACTGTTTACCATCAGGAACTCCATATGCCATCTGTGGCTTGCTTACAGACAAGCATTCTAAAGTTTTTATTGGAACACGAGATGCGCATTCTTTTTTGACAATTACTTTCCATAATAATTTTTGTATATCTCCAAATAGATACACCTACTTAAACACCCGCCAATAAAAATCTTCCTAAACAATTTAATAAAGGACCCTGGTTTCAGCAGAGCCACTAAAACACGTGCTTCTTTGAAGCAGGCACTCCCCAGGGCTGAGCAGGCAAAAACACAGACCTCATATGTTTCGGTTCTAAAGAGGCGAAAGGTTCAATTCTTGTGGGGAAATTAAAGACCAATAAAGAAAAGAAAAAAAAAAAAGCCAGAATTCCTCCAACCAAAAAGGTTAGCGTTCGGGAGGAAAAAGTAAAAAGAATACGGAAAGAAAGTTTGAATTAAATAAGACAACAGCAAAATGAACTAGGTGAAGCAAACAAACGAGTTCAAGAAAGCAACGTTTTCTGAACAAGAGTCAAGTTCTGCAGGGAAAAGTCACGTGGGGGAGATCCGATACCGAGTTGGCCTCCACCGGGGAGGTTTCCTTATCGCAGAAACCTGGCCGGGGGTGGGGTGGGGTGGGGAGGGAGGAAAAGGGGCGGCCATCTCCCTCCCCTAACAACCGGCTGCCTCGGAGAGAGATAATCGAGGAGACGCTGAAGACCTAATCAAAAGAAAGGCTCTTAAAAGACCTCATCGTGAGGAGACGAAGAGCCTCCTTCCCTCCCGGGAGCAGGCAGCTCTCCTCCACCACACGGATGACGGCATCGGCGACCGTAAAAACGGAAAATGCCCAGTCGACTCGAGAAAGCCTCCAACGACCAACCCCGCCTCAAACTCAGGACCCTTCACGAACTCACTTTTTGTCCGGGCAAATCCAGTCACCGTCACTGACTCTGAAATTCTTGGTCGACATCTTGGACGCCGCCACCACAACCACCCGCAGCTACGTCTTCACAGGAGGGAGCGGGCCGGGGACTTTTGGCGCTCCGGGGCTGTCCTCACACCGCCTGATTGCTTTCCAACACTGCGACAGGGTTTGATAGTGCGATCACTCGGCCTAGATTGGGTTTGGACGTTATTGTCCAGAAAATGATGCCTGTCAGATTTTTTTTTCTGATCGAAAGAGTTACAATGAAAATGTATTCTCTAGGACTAAACTAACAGGCGCCACCAGGACAGCCCAGGCGGGAGGCCTTCGTGGCACTAAATGGCTCCGAGAGCCCCCTACAGGCGGGAGGACCTGAAAGGAAAGTACTTCCGCTCAGATGGGCGGGGCTAGGGAGGTGGGGCGGAAGTGACTATGACCCTCCGGGGCTGGCAAAGGAGGGTTTCGCTAATTGTTTGGGGTGTAGTGGACTTTTCCCGTTTTTGGAAAAGTGATTTTAATAAAGGCTCGAGAACTCTGTTCTTTCACCATGCACAGAGGATATCGTTTAAAACAAATTGTTTTGGGGTACGTAAATAGATGTAACAGATAAGCAATATACACTTGGGAACTGAGCAATAATTTTGAAACTAGGAGGTTGCCACTATAGTTAAAAGACCTGTGTTTTCCCCATTCCATTTGCTTGCTTTCCTCTAGAGGTAACACTTGTATTTTGGGTTTATTCCTTTGCTTTTAAAAATGTAGTTTATGTCTAATAAACTGTTGGACTTTACAAGGATAGTTTATTGTTGTGTAATCGTCTGCAGCTTTCTTTTCGTCATCAATATGCTTTTAAAACGTACATGTATTTGTATTTGTTTAATTTTGCTGTTATTTATTGATATGTTGCTTCGTGTGACAGTTTATCCCTCTGTTTCTCAACTTTTGTCATAAATTTGGATACAAAAATGCAAGAATTTTTCTAGTGTACAGCTTGTATCTATAGAGAACATTTTCAGCTACTTTCTAATTATAATTGCTTTAAAGACTGTAATAATCGTAGCATCCTGTTAACCTAGGGATTGGCAGCTGTTTATTTTTCCCTAATAACTGACCCTATTTTTTCCAGTTCTTTGTATATTGAGTAATTGTAATTTTTATCCAAGACATTTTGAATATTTTGTTGTAGACTCTGGGTTCTGATTAAAGCTTTTGGGGAATGTTGATTTTTTTTTTTTCTGTTTTCCTTTAAGAGGCCATCAATCCAGTTTGGTTCATATCTTGAGTCTCACCTGTGGGTGCTGGTTCCATGTCAGTTTGGTTTTCAGAGGCTTTATTGTGTTGCATTGAATCTGTTCTGTACATACAACACTGAAGAATTATTTTGGAACTTGGGAAGTAATTTAAATTGTAGTTCACATATCTTTTGCTATGCAGCTTTTTGTTTGCCCTGCAGGTGCTTAGTTCAAGGTGTGAGCAGAGAACTTAGTCAGATCCATACAAAGAATTAGAGAGTTTGCTTCTCTAGCTCTGCTGTTTTTGATGTTCCTCTCCTACTCCCTGTTTTGCCGAGTCTCGTTTTCTTGCTAGAAATGCGAGGTTTCTCTTGGAGTTTTAGCTTAGTGCCGTAGCTGCAGCATCTGACTAGGGCGCACTCTGGAGCAAAGAGGTGAGAGAACAGAGCAAAACAAAAGATGAATTCCTTCCAAGAGGTACCTTTTCCCAGATTCCTTGTCTAGAAAGACAGGGTTTTTCTTGGTGTCCTAACTACCCAAGCCTGGCCCTAACTCTCAGTCAAGACCAGAGGGAAAAAAGGAGAAAAAAAGCCAAATATTCCCCCACAGACTTTAGCTCATGGAAGCCCTCTTTCCCCATCCATCTGGCTAGAAATGTGGGGTTTCTGTCTGTTTTTCTTCCCTGTGCTACCACCACTGTGTCACTGGGTGTCAGACCTCCAGTCAGATCTGTAAGAGAAAGTAGGAAAAACAAACGCAGAAGGCATTTTCCCAAGTTTTGACTTTCCTCCCCAACCTGCCTGTTTTTGTTTACTTTTTTTTTTAGAGTCCTCAGGTAGTTGCTTTTTGTATTTTGCCTTGAACTTTTAGTTAGTTGGGATCAGTAGGAAAGGTAGGCTGTCATGGTCTTACTCCATTTTGGCTGGCACCGCAAGTCGAGGAAATAGAAATTACCACTATACATCCATTAGAATTATTACAATGAAAAATTTAGACAATATCAAGTGTTGGAGAAGGTGTTGAACAACGACTGGGATTCTTATACACTGCTGGTGGAGGTGTCAATGGATACATTTACTTTGGAAAGTGTTTGTTAGAATCTATTAAATCTTGATGCTTTGCAGTCGGGCCGCGAGCCCCGCGTCTAGTGATGGGGAGCCCCTGGTGCTTGACGCCGCCAAATCGGCTGTAGAGGTGGACGTTGTGACCAGGAGCCGGGAACTGGAAGGCCGCGGAGTGGAAAGAGGGAAGCGTGGCGCTGTGTGAGGAGGGGCTACGGCCGCTGTGTGGTGGGGAGAGGCCGGTTATCACTGTGAATACAAGATGCGGACAGGAAGGAAACCTGATGGCTGTGCCATTTGCTTCAAACATTCCAAATTTTCACTCTTATCAGTGAACCCAGTGGAATTCTACCGCCGTGATGTTCCTCTATTGGACAGAGACAATGTTGGATTAGTGTTGCTCTTGCAGCCCAAGATTCCAAGCGCTGCCTCCCCTGCCATCTGTGTAGCTCACACACATCTGTTGTATAACCCAAGGCGAGGTGACATTAAACTGACCCAATTGGCAATGCTTCTGGCAGAGGTTTCCAGTGTTGCCCATCAGAAAGATGGCAGCCTCTGCCCCATTGTTATGTGTGGGGACTTCAATTCTGTTCCTGGTTCTCCACTCTATAGTTTAATTAAGGAGGGAAAATTGAATTACGAAGGACTTGCCATAGGAAAGGTATCTGGCCAGGAACAGTCTTCACGGGGACAAAGAATTTTACCTATTCCAATTTGGCCCCCAAACCTAGGTATCTCACAGAACTGTGTGTATGAGGTACAGCAGTTACCAAAAGTAGAAAAGCCAGACGGTGATCTGACACAGACAGAGCCGGACAAGACAGAGGTCCTGGTGACAGTGGAAAAGTTATCTTCAAACTTACAGCACCATTTCAGCTTGTCATCTGTTTATTCACATTATTTGCCTGACACTGGAATCCCAGAAGTGACCACCTGTCATTCCCGAAGTGCCATACCTGTGGATTATATTTTCTATTCTGCTGAAAAGGAAGGTGTTGCAGAGCAGCCAGGAGCTGAAGTTACTTTGGTTGGTGGCTTGAAACTTCTAGCCAGACTGTCACTTCTTTCAGAAGAAGACTTATGGACTGTTAACGGACTTCCGAATGAAAATAACTCTTCGGATCATCTGCCTTTATTGGCTAAATTCAGACTTGAGCTCTGACTTTTGATTACATATATACTTTGCGTTCCCGTTTGGGTTTTTTTTTCCCCCAAAGAGTTCTTAAGAGTTTACATGTTTATTTATTTTTACGCTATGAAATTTCTGAAGAGGTCTATGTTAAATGTTTGAAACAGGTAACAGAAGAAACAAGTTTACACTTTTTTTTTAATAATGAAAAAATATTTTCCTGACAAGTGAGATCTAAATGCTGTTGATTGCAAAAAAAGTTGTAAATATTTATTCTAAATCCCAGTAAAATTGACAGTGATTTTTAAATATGGTGCAACTTCTTTAATCTGTTAGGAAATAATTTCGTGTTTTTAGCAAGCTTTAAAGTGGATCCAAAATATCTTTGAGTTCTTGGCAAACCACAACTCATTCCCTTGCAGAAGGCCTGATTTCATCACAAGGATCATGTCTGTTGAGTCCTAACTCATTCATCTCAGAAATCATTGGGTTGTTCACAAGTATCTAATCATTTTAGTTTGTCTTTGATGGGGCTTGATAGTACTTTTTATTTTTTATTTTTTAAAATTTTTGAGTGGTATGTTTTTTTTTTTCCATTTATTTTTATTAGTTGGAGGCTAATTACAACATTGCAGTGGTTTTTGTCATACATTGAAATGAATTAGCCATTGATTTGCATGTGTTCCCCATCCTGGTCCCCCCTCCCACCTCCCTCTCCACCCGGTCCCTCTGGGTCTTCCCAGTGCGCCGGGCCCGAGCACTTGTCTCGTGCATCCAACCTGGGCTGGTGATCTGTTTCACCCTTGATGGTATGCATGTTTCGATGCTGTTCTCTTGAGGAAGCCCACCCTCGCCTTCTCCCACAGAGTCCACAAATCTGTATGTACATATAGGGATAGTACTTTTTGGAACTGTACAAATTGTTTAATCCATTTTATTACCATCCTGAGCCATGTAATGTGCCTGCATTTTATTGGTAAAATGTAGGTCACCATAACTAGTAGGATGAAGTGTTTTGGACAAGGCCACTCTCCATCCTATAGTGGACTGTATAGGATGCCTAAGAGAGTCATTCTGGGGTCATGCCTTGGGTTTCCCTAGTAATTTTTTTTTTTTAACTTAGTTTCAAGAAAAGATTCTGGATTGAAGGAAAGATTTTACTTTACTGAACCAATCCTGTATAAATTTATTAGGAAACTTGTATTTGGAACAAAGTGGCAGCTCTAAGATTCTTCTTATTTGCCTCAGAAATAAGAGGAAGCCAGCAGAACTCTAGAGGGGAGATATTAACTTGGAGACCTAAGACTCTTTAATAGTTGATATTAACTGTTTTGTTGTGGTTCAACTGTTGTCGTTTCTATAATGTTTTGGGTTTCTGTCTCTTTTTATCATGATTCAGCAGTGTGAGATGGTGCTGGTCTTTTTTATAAAGTGGTTAAGAGTGGGTCTGAAAAATCCTGCAGTTGGCTCTTAATGAGTGTTTGAATCAAACATTTTTAAACCTAAGTGAAAATTTACTCTTTTTCTAGAATTGGGATCAAAGAACTATGTACATTTTTACTAAGTAATTTTATATTGAATTATTCTGAATTATAAAAGTTTTTTACAGTGGGTTTTCTGAATAGAATGCTTCATTTTAAATTAGCAGCAGTAGTTACTTTATAGGCTCGGACTTTTTCTACTGAAGTATTTACAACAATTATTAAAAAATAAATAAACCAGATAAATACCCCCCAAAAGTATGTGGGTTATAAGGATTTGCCTAGTAAAAGTTATAGTGTTATAGAAATACTTCTGTTTATTGTATCACTTTTTTTTTTTAACTTAACAGTATTAACCGTATAGTTCTAGGATTTTCCACATTTTGTAGTAACAGTTTTCAAAGTATTACATGTTCTGATTAGCAGATATTGTATTTTTATCCCTTTTAGTATTAGGGAAAGAAAAATGAAGATTCATGGATAACTATGTTGTGTTGTATGAGTTTGTTAACAACTAACTTTATATATAGGTATTCTTGATAAACGAACATCCCTGAAAACTTAATTTTTTGTATCCTGATTAATATATTGTGATTTTAGGCCCTTTTCACGTACTTCACTTTGAGTTAATCCCATAAAATTGCTTTCAACTTTAGCTTATAGAATGAAGTAGTATTATGTGTACTGTAGGCCAAGGAATCCTTTGTAACTTTCTCACAGGCTTTTAAAGCGCCACTAAAATTAACTGTCCACGTGTCTTCACTTTGTTTGATTAGAAGAGTTAATAACTGTTGGAGCCTTGTATTTACCTGTCAAAAGCAATTAAATTTGGTTAATTGCTGAAACCAAATCTCCCCATCTCACCTGCTGTGCTATCCAGGTTTTAAATGGAAAGGGATATATTGCAGAATTGCAGTAACGAAATTTTGGTTTTACTATAGCTTTTGATATCGGTAGGTGTGTTTGAAATTGTCTTTTCTGGAATTTAGCGACTTGTCTGCTCTTAACCCTTTGCTTTCCTAAAAACACTAAGTTAGAGATCCAGAGTTCAAAGGGTTGGAAAAACATTCACTTTGTCAAGTCATTTGCACTTTGTCCATGTAAGTTACCTAATAAATTATTGTGCTAGTACAAAAAAAAAAAAAAAAAGAATCTATTAAATCTTAGCATATGCATACCCTATGACCCTAAGATTCCACTCCCAAGTATATTTCCAATAAAAATGCCCGTATGTTCACTGAAGAGGTATATAATAGTGTTCATTACTATACTATAGTAGCCCTAAACTAGAAGTTCCCATTTGCTTGTGAATGGTAGCCCGGGTAAATAAACTGTTACAGGTTCACACAGCAGAATTCTGTACACCACAATGACAATAAACAAATTGCCGTCACTTTGAAGAGTATAACTGTCACTCACAAATACAGTATTGAATTGGAAAAGCCAGATACAAACTAGCACATGCTATATAATTCCAATCATTTACATGGACTTCAGAAGCAGGCCAAGCTAATCTAGGATGATGGTTATCCTAGGGAGTGGGGAGGAGCTAGTGCCTGGAAGGGGACATGAGCTTTTTGGAGTCCTGATCATATTCTTTGTCATGGTTGGGTTCTGGTTATACAAGTATCTTCATTTTATAAAAACACACAAAATTTTTATAAAGCTGTGTGCCCTTACAATTTAGGCTTTTTTTTTACACTTCAATGAAGTGTAAAAAAATAAATGCTTAAATGTGCCCATTTCACCACACCTACCTCACAATAATTAGATCCTTGAAAAATATTATACTAACTTTAGAGGCAAAGGGAATGATCACAGACCGCCTTGTGACTTTCCGAATATGACTGGTACATGGATCATGCCTTTTGGCCTTAATGGTAATTGAGGTTTCTTACAGTTGAGATGTTGAGTCTGGCATAACTCATATCAAGTTGTATTACAAAGCTATTAAGAAAGATATATTCTCAGTTCTACAGTTAACTGAGAGTTTGAAGTGGCAGTGGTTAATTTCTGAGGTTTACGTTTTTAAGCTCAACGAGAATTTTCTTATAGATATACATCAAGCAGATTTTGTTCATACGTGTTCAGATACATGCAGGAAAAATAATGCTATTAAGAGACAATGAAAAATAACTTTTTGAAGTTCCAAATCTTAAAATCCCCTGCATGAGTCACAGTTGAAATATATTAAAACAATGTTTTTTTTCAACTGACCAGAATTTTAAAAGATTTATAATATATAAATCCCTGTGTTATAAAATATTTGGAATTATAACTTAACAAGCTGCCATAGAATGTTTGCCCTTGAAACAAGTAGGTCTTGCTCAGAAGAATAACGATTTTATTAAACAAATGAGTAAATCTGTGAACTTAATACTCATATCTAAGTAATTTCCTAATTTTAATCTGGGGATGTGTGAAAAGTGGAAGTCACTTCGTTGGTCACAGGGAGCAGCAGTGACCCCAGGCAAAGTTGGGGAGTGTGAAGTTGTGGCTGAGTTTTGTATAGTCTGCAGGATGGAGTGGTGGGTAGCTGTAACCTCCAAAAAGGCACCCAGGATTGGAAATTGGGTAGTAAAATATCATCATTTGGATTTGAGGTTAGAAATATTAGCATATGATTGTTTACATCAGCCACCTGGAAATAGCTTTAACTCTCTCTAAAATCTGGTTTGTGTTTATGATTTAAGGTGAACACTAATCTATATTCCTGAGGGAATTATTTTAATAATAGCTATTTACTATATATTTGGTATATGTAGAGCTAAGAGCTTTACATTAATTATCACATTTAGACTCCCAACAGTCTTTAGGAAAGATATTATTAGCTTTGTTTACAGATGAGAAATCAAGGTTTAGAAAATATAAGGACCTTGTGAAAGGTTTTGAAATGTAATATATGATGACTCTGGAGTCAGATTTCTTGGGTTCAGATCTCAGCTCTACTACTCATTAGGCAAATCACTTAAACTAGCTGTATTTTTTTTCTTTATCTTTATCTAGAGATGATACTAATAGTATTTTAGAATTGCTAAAAGGATTAAGGGGAAACAGTGCCTGACTTTGTTTTTTTGTGCTCCAAAATCACTGCAGATGGTGATTGCAGCCATGAAATTAAAAGACGCTTGCTCTTTGGAAGGACAGTTATGACCAACCTAGACAACATATTAAAAAGCAGAGACATTGCTTTGTCAGCAAAGGTCCATCTAATCAAGGTTGTGGTTTTTCCAGTGCATGTATGAATGTGAGAGTTGGACTATAAAGAAAGCTGAGCCCCGAAGAATTGATGCTTTTGAACTGTGGTGTTGGAGAAGATTCTTGAGAGTCCCTTGGAATGCAACCAGTTCATTCTAAAGGAGATCAGTCCTGGGTGTTCATTGGAAGGACTGATGTTGAAGCTGAAACTCCGATACTTTGGCCACCTGATGCAAAGAGATGACTCATTGAAAAAGACCATGATGCTGGGAAGGATTGAGGGCAGGAGGAGAAGGGGACGACAGAGGATGAGATGGTTGGATGGCATCACCGACTAAGTGGACATGAGTTTGGGTAAACTCCGGGAATTGGTGATGGACAGGGAGGCCTGGTGTGCTACGGTTCATGGGTTTGCAAAGAGTTAGACACAACTGAGCGACTGAACTGAACTGAACTGAAAAGGATTAAGTGAGAAAGCTCACTTTAGGTGCCTGATAAACAGAACTCAGTAAATATTGGTTATTATTGTTCAATTAAAGGCTCATAGGTAATAGTTGCTAAAGAATCTACTTGCAATGCAGATAGATCCCTGGCTTGAGAAGATCCCCTGGAGAGGGGAATGACTACCCA